AAGTTTCCAGTATAATCGGGAGAGATGGAACTCATGTAAAAAACTGAGAGTGGACAGATGGCACATGAAGCCATAATAATGACTCAGGAGCCATGTAAACAAATTTTTTGGGGTATAATTTAAAATGTCCTTACTAGCAAATCGCTGTAAAGCAAAGCACCGTAAAGTGGGGCCTCCTGTACATTGAGAGGATAAAAAATTATTATTTTCATTGTACATTTCACACACATCTCCCTTTTTATTATTGAATTTCTTACTGACTTGCATTTCTCATTACGAAACTCTGAAAACTCAAAAAGATCTCATTAGATTTGTGTGTGGTTTTGGGTTTCGCACTACGACCACTGCAACTCCTACATTTGGGAGCTCTGGTGAAGCATTCCAAACGGCAAGTGCGGGGCTTTGTCGGCTGCCATGCCCTGCTTGAAACCCGGGGCATATATTGCTGTATGCTTAGCATTTAAACCACTGGCATACGGGTAAAGGGGAAATTGTACATGCATTTACTTCATAGTGTATTTATCAACAGTGCTGTAGGGAGCAACCTTCAACCTGTAGAACAAAACCCCTTAAACCACTAATTGGTTAGAGCAAGGTTTGTTCATTGGTATATTATTATATTTTACGGTGAACAAGACGCTCAGGCCGATATTTTTAAATTTGGAAAAGGCACTTCGAAATTTTTGAGACATTTTTGGAAGAAAAGGTAGCGTCTTCGATGCCATAAAATGTGGTACTTATTAAAGTTTGCAGAGAGGTATGGGTGTCATATCTGTTGTTTCAGTTACTCTCTAGAGTCTTATGAGCTCACTAATATTGTTTTTTTTTTACTATGTACATTGAAGAAATGTTTTCTGATATCCTTGTGACTCATTTGAGTATAGTATTTCCAACTATGCACTCTTATTTTTGCTACATTCCTGGTAAAAAGCATGGTAGTCTACTTGAGAGTGTAGGCTCTCCATGTATGTAAACTGTTATTGTATGTGCAAATATGTTTGTTTCAGTGAATTAGTAAATTATTTTTTTTCAACACATCAGCTGTCTCCCACCGAGGCAGGGTGGTCCAAAAAAGAAACACTTTCACCATCATTCACACATAAACACTGTCTTGGCAAATGCATGCAGATGTGAAATTAAGTGCAGGCATTGTACTTTCTCACCTCCAGGACTCAAGACTGGCTAACCAGTTTCCTGAATCCCTTCACAAAATATTACTCTTCTCACAGCTTGTCAAGTTCCAATAACCATTCATCTCCATTCACTCCTATCTAACATGCTCACACATGCCTGCTGTATGTCCAAGAACCTTGCACACAAAACCTTTTTTACCCCCTCCCCCCATCCTTTCTTAGGACAACCCCTACCCCTCCTTCCCTGTACTACAGATTTATACACCCTCCAAGTCATCTGTTCTGCTCCATCCTTCTGATTGACCAAACCACCTTAACAACCCCTCCACAACCCACTGAATAATACTTTGAGTAATTCTACACCTTTTTCTAATTTCCATACCATGAAATCTCTGCATAATATTTATGCCACACATTACCCTTAGACACAACATCACTGCCTTCATCCTCCTCCTCGCTGCAACATTCACAACCCATGTTTTACACCTAATAAAAAGTGTTGATACCACTATACTCTTATACATTCCTTGCTTTGCTTGCATGGCTTAATATTCTTTGTCTCTACAGATACCTCAATGCATCACCCTCTTTTTTTTTTTTTTCATTTTTTTATGGTTTACCTTGTCCTTCATAAACCCATCCACTGACAAGTCTACTCCCAAATATCTGAACACATTCATTTCTTCCATACTCCCTCCCTCCAATGTGATATCCATTTTTTTCTTTATCTAACTCATTTGACACCCTCTGACTTTATATGTGTGTTCATTTTCAACTTTCTACTTTTTTTTTTTTAAAACACATCAGCCATTTCCCACTGAGGCAGGGTTGACTCAAAAAGAAAGAAAACCCCAAAAAGAAAGAAAAACTTTCATCATCATTTAACACTTTTCACCATCATTCAGACAAAATCACTGTGTTTGCAGAGGTGCTATAATATAAAAATTATGCCGACTGTATATTTAATTTTGTATAGTAAAATGGAGTTTTCCTACTTGTGATCTGTTGAAATTAGCTAATTGAAACACTATTGCATGAGAATTTTTGGGGGTATTTATACATATACTTTTTCCCACCCTAGGGTTAGATGTCTCTGATGGCTACCCTGGGTATGTGCTTGCAATTCACAGCAGCAAACGAGTAGCAGTGGAACAGATCACTGCACCAGCCTCCCTCTTAGCGATTCTCAAAACAATCTATGCCTAGCAAAGGGACAGCGCCACGAAGGACGGCAAGGGATGACTGTTTATTACCTAACCAAGGTAACAATCAAGGCTTTGACCATTGCTCTTGTAAAAACTATATAATTAATTAAAATAATGAGTTTACAAAGTATTATAGGCAAAAAAATAATGCGTACATCATGGTTTTCATTGTACCAAAAGAAAATTAAATTTAAATAATTCAGGCCTGACATACAGTAATGTTGAGCATTGTAGTGGATAAGTTTAAAAAACTGTAACAATATACCATATCAAACCATACCACGGACGGATTTAAACCCGCGGGCAGAGAGTCTCAAAACTCCCAGACCGTCGTGGTATGGTTTATTTTTCAATCGTTCATTACGATTTCGTGAGTCAAAGTTAATATACCATATTTCGCGGCTTTGACACACTTTTTTCCACATAAAACATCTCCAAAAACCACCCCGCTTTTTATAAAAATGATGGTCACTGGGCAGCAGCTATAAGTTTGGGGTGTGGGGTGGGCTGTATCTCTCCCAGTTACATCTGATGCCAAGCCACTGAAACTAAGACAAGTCTTATCAGCCGCTCTTGTAAGCCACGAAAACGGTATTACATTCCATGTAGGAATTGTAAGATAGTTTTTTCTTTAGCTTGATACAGGTTGGTCATCACAACCGGCATCATTGGAACCCGCAGTGTGCCGGGTTAGTGAGTCTGCTGGATTACAGAGTGGTTTAGGTTAGAATACACTGAATTAACCTATCAATAGAGAGACTGCTACATCTTCCTCATTTTCATCACTGCTTTCTCCTCCACTTGCTTGTTGCTGTGGATTTTCAACCATCTGCACAATTTCTGAGTCAGTATAATGATGAAATTTGAGTCAGTATAAAGATGAAATTTGAGTCAGTATAATTTAGAAATTTGAAATTATGCTAGCCGAAATTAGTGCCGGATTACTGATGGGAAAAAGGTAACTGATTGCAGGATTAGTGATGGTTCTACCTGTACTAGTTAACCACATGACCAGTGTTTCTCACATACATAAACAGAGTTAAATTTCTGTTTCTGGAAGTTCATTGAATCAACACAAGTATTCTGTTAGAAACAGACTTAATCAATGCCTTGTTTCTGTATTTAAGGAACACTGGCCATACGGTTAACTGGAAAAACACTAGAATATTTGGAGCTGGCATGTTTTACATTCAGTAAATGCTCAACCCTGTGTTTAAAGTCCATTCCTGAATTTTTTAAACTTGATATCCTCATTTTACAGAATTTGATCAGTGGTGTAAGAGTAACTCCCTCTACCAAACAGAATACAGTGTATCAAATTATTAACAGATTTTTGATAGGTTTGCAGGATTTATGTCCTTTCGTGTTATACCCTAGGGATGTCTAGAGAGGAGATTTAAATGGTAATAGCATATTCTTTCTTCAGTGCTCAGCTGTGCAACCAGTGGTCTTGTGAAAAGGGCCTTGGGTATGCAGATAGGAAAAACTGATTCATTGCAGTTCTTTCATTGGCATATCAAGGCTTAGGCAGACTTTATTATAGGGTAAATTGTATTACTGTTTGTAGGATTACCGACAATATGTAAAGAAAAAGGACACAAGTACAACTATTGTGCCCTTTTTTAATGTGGCAACATTTCGCTCTCCAGGAGTTTTATCAAGCTGTTAAAAAACAATACATGGACACAGAGGGTATATATGGCTTAGAGTGAGGTGTAATACTAGTGGTGGTAGTAGTAGTAGTAGTAATGTAAGTTGTAATAGTAGTAGTAATACAATATGGAAAAACAGTCAACTTGCACATGAGTAAAAGGTTATAAAAGCTATTTCTTGGGTAACATAAAAATAGGTTAGACAAATATTTCTCTTGGTGGTTGGATCTGAGAAGGTCTGTTTCAGTGTTCCTTCTCTATTGTGTTCTTGTGTAGCAGAGATTATGTGATGGCAGGGTTTGCTGTTTTGAGGAAGATTTTTGCTAATACTTCAGAGATGATGAAGCTGCCTTTATTTTGTTTGTGTTAGAAACAGCTATTAATGATGATTCAAGGCATTTACGTCTGCAGAAATTTGGCTCTCTGATTACTAGTCGGGCATCGTTGAATTTCATGAGGTGATTGGTGGAATTCCAGTGTTGTATGCAGGCAGTATTCAAGTTATCATTCCTACATGTGTTAATGTGTTCATTGAGGCGTGTTTCAAGGTTCCTGGCTGTTTCACCTACATATATCTTTTCACAGCCTCCACATGGTATAGTGTAAACCCCTGCATTGACTGGTTCAAGGTGGTTCGATTTTGTACTAGTTAGATCCCTAGAGTTGCCATTGCATCCAGCACTTCCATAAGGGATCTAACCAGGATAAGGTCCCGTTGAGCTTTTTTCAAGGTTATTGAAGAGTGCAAGATGGAACATTAGTGAACCAGTGAATAATATTTTTTACTGTATCCTAGTTTTAATATACTCATTCCAGGCCCTTCTTGCCTCTTTATACCTGGTTTTCATTTTTCATGAAGCTTTTAGTGTTCAATGCATATCTCAGCACTATTAAATCTTGTTGTTATTGCTCAGATAAATGGTTTTGAATATGACAACCTCCTCTGAATGTTTTTGTATGTGGGCAGTACTCTATCATGCAGTTCTTAAAATTATTTTTAAATTTGGCAGGGGTGGGCAGGGCTCGTGGTGATGGTGGAGAACCGTCATCCTGATAAGTGCATCCAGGTGATGTGTGACTGCCGGGAGAGCTACAATGTGGTTTCCACTCGCGCTCAGCTAAAGACCGTGGATTCTGTTCCTCCTCTTCACAGGTAGATGGGATTACACCTCTGAGTGAAGCTCTCAGTATATTTTACTGGGAAATAATTAAATTATTGTATAGGTAATCAATACATTACGAGTATTGTAGCGTCTTTCTTTAGGGTTCTTATATTTTTTTAAACGCGTTTTTTGATGTGGATCACAAGGTGGTATTTTGGACTTATTGGACTTGATACATAACTGTATAAGGGGCCACCAACATATCCTCCTATGTGAGGCTCTGTGAAATGACACGATCTATCCAGGATGGGTCCAGGCGTGAGATAGACGCTTGATCTGTTCTCTACTCTGTCGAGCAGTCACAAGATGAGAAGGGGGGGGCAGGCATAAACCAAGAAAGTGGGAGCCCTACTCAAGTTGCGAGCATAACTTGTGCCTCGTACAGGATACTGTGCAACCATACTGTCAAGCAGATTGGTGATACGGCGATGTGCTGTAAGCTTCCTGGCTCCTTGTTTGCAAGATTTAACAAATGGTCTTCATGGATTAGGCTTGGAGTCAAATTTCACCATGGATATTCAACTTCCTCTCCAGGTGCCACTCTATACTCCCATTCATCCTTACTACTGCCCTGCATTACCATCTTGTATGCCTTAGTGAAGGATCTCATTTGCGTTTTCTCAGGTGCAAATGCTTACTTGCCATCTATTTCCCAATCTGGATATAGCTCTCTGGGGTGATTGCTGTAGCTTACGAGCAGTGGCATTTCTCTATTGGATAAGTAAATGGTCAGTGTACAGTCGTCTGCATATGCATGTGATTCTGGGATGAGATGAAGGAAGGTCGTTGTAGTTAGACATTTCCATAACAATGGACCCAGCACGCTTCATTGTGGGGACACTTGCACCAATAGGATGTCTTTGCTGATTCCGTTCCATTGTAGAACTTCACTTAGAGATTCTACATGAAGGTAGTCACTGAGGAGACATAGCGTAGAGCCTGCTATTCCCAGTATTGAGTTTTGCTAAGAGGCCTGGTGCCACACCCGGTCTGAAAGCGCCCAGCAATGGCCAGTGCTACCACAACTCAAGCTGACTTTGAGATTCATCCAGTGACTGGTGCCACTTAGTGGAGTGGTTTAACAACAGATCAGCAGCTGAGTAAAAACCGTTCTGAAGACATATTGTCGATCACAAAGGTAGTGAGTGTTAGTAAAAAAACTCTGTACTTTTGTCGTGAGATTATGTTCTTAGGGATCCTTACCAGTGATCTTGACAGGAGTGACATGGTCTGTAGTTGCTCGATTTCTGCTCTGCTCTTCTTTTTGGAACAGGGACTCATTCGCCTCTTTCCATAGAGAGGGCCATTTACTAGGCAGTGCTGAAGATGCGAGTTAGAGGTGTTGCTGCTGGTCTGCACATCTCTCAACATCTTTGGGTCAACTTGTCTGGGCCACAGCTTTCTTGGTCAAGCGATTTAAGTAAGGAAATCTGCACCTCCTCCTGCCTTATGTACACTGACAGTTTTGACACCGTTCTTGCAGCTAGCCAAGGAGGGTTTCTCTCTCTCTCTCTCTCTCTCTCTCTCTCTCTCTCTCTCTCTCTCTCTTCACTCTCTCTCTCACTCTCCTCACTCTCTCTTCATACTCTCTCTCACTCTTCTCACTCTCTCTCTCACTCTCTCTCTCTCTCTCTCTCTCTCTTCTCTCTCTCTCTCTCTCTCTGTCTCTCTCTCTCTCTCTGTCTCTCTCTTGTCTCCTCTCTGTATCTCTTGTACTTATCTCTCTGTCTCTCTCTCTCTGTCTCTCTCTCTCTGTCTCTCTCTCTCTGTCTTCTCTCTGTCTCTCTCTGTCTCTCTCTGTAGATCTCTCTCTGTCTCTATCTCTCTGTCCTCGCTCTCTCTCTCTCTCTCTTCTCTCTCTCTCTCTTCTCTACTCTCTATCTCTCTCTCTCGCTCTCTCTCTCTCTGTCCTCTCTTCTCTCTCTGTCTCTCTCTCTCTCTCTTCCCTCTCTACCTCTTTACCTCTACGTACACCTACCTAACTACAAAGACAAGTGTGTAAATGCATGAATGAGTTTGGTCATTTCTGTCTGTTAAACATTTTTTTTTGTTTATTTTTTTTATTTATTGTGCATACATTATTTTCAATCACCATCTTAGAAATGAATAATTAGGTGAAATTTATCTGCACGGCAGTGTTAATTGTGCATGAACACGTTTGGGAGAGAGTGGAGGGTTCTAGCATTGCACACCGACTCACCCAAGTCCTCTCTCACTCTGCGGTCTCCATGACTGGGGCCTCCTGGCTACCAACCTCGATCCTGCTCATGTGATGGGACTCACACATGGCCTTACCCATTCTCACTAGACCCATATGAGACTGCATTACTATTTGGTTCACTGCCATTTACATCCACCATTGGTACCCTCCAATAGGTTATTTCTGAGGATCTTTTTCAAGGTTCTACTGTGGTTGTGTAGCTCACTTTGCACAGACTTCCCTTCTATCCCCCACAATGTGAAACGTTTATCTTTTTTTATGGTTTGCGCCAACAGAGGGTGGTTTGTAAATAAATGTTACTTTGTGTTTTTATAGATATTTAAGTTTCAAGGTTCCCAGATGTTACCTTTAGCTCTTTGATGGAAATGATAAAACCCAACTAAATTGTGAAGGAAAAATCAAAATTCCAAACATCAGTGTAGTATTCCATGCCTCTTCATGTGATGTTTTTTTCATAGAATTGATCTTTGGCCATCTCCCAAAACCCATATCATTATGTCATATTTATGTATTTTATGCTTTTATATGGTAAGCTCTGACATTAGGCCTTATTTGTAGTAAGGGATTTAACAGGGTTACCATTCAAGGCTGTGATAGGCGGTAACTGTAGAGGTTTGTGTTAGGAAAGTTTGTGCATATTTAAGTTACTGCTGTTAAGAGCAGTGTTATACTTATGATTAGTCTAATACTGTAGTAAAGAATTTACAGACCAGGTTAAGAGCGGCAGTTTCTTCCAGTGATCAGGACACCACCATGTTGCCTAGATTCGCACCATCATGATTCGTTTTCCCACTACCTGGAAAGGGCTGTCTTTCTGATTTAGGACTGTGTTAGGGAATGAATGAGGTGTGCAGACTTAATCTGTATTGCCACGACCTCTGATTGTTGTATATCTCGGGCTGCAAACTCAGAGATCAACTGCCAATGTATATATGAGAGTGTAGTAAGCCGGAACAATACTGTATCTTAGTGGTGAGTGAGGTGAGTGTGCTTTACTATACATCACGTTGAGGGGAAGTGAGGTGGACTTCACTATAAGTTACTCACATTTCGTAAACGTCTCATTCCATCATAATTAGGTACTAACAATTTGTTTATATAGTATACTATTATGTATGTTAGATAGGAGTGAGTAGAGATAAGAGGTTTTTAATGGATGTACTGTTGGAGTTTAAGCAGGACAATGTCATGAAGGGATTCAGGTAACCGGTTAGCCCCAGGCCTTGAGTCCTGGAGGTGGAAAGTACGTGCCTGCACTCTGAAGGTAGGGGGTGAGGATTATATGCAGTTTGATTTGCGGTTTTAGTGCCCCTATAGCACAAGGCACTGTGATGGAGTAAGTGATGATTTAATTTTTTTACTTTGGGTCACCCTACTCGGGAGACAGCCAGTTTGTTAATAAAAATATATATACATATGTTCTATACATGCTGTATATATAGTGTATTACCTTGGAGGTATATTACGTGTTGTATACTGTATATCTATATCTATTATTTTATTATTATATTTGGAAAGGGAGAAAATTATATGAGACAGTAGTTTAAACAGATCTCTGCTTTTATATCTTCAACAATTTCTAATTCTCTAGTGCTAAATAAACATTTAGTACTGTAGCAAGAATGTAAGTGTACCAACATGTAAGGGCTGCAGGTGCTAAATTTTTGAGTATCACAGGCCTCTGGCACATGCTTGGTAGCAAGGAGCTAAGTTGGCCAAGTTGGTATTAGTCACACTTGTACATTTAGCATTATCATTTCACTCATATAGATTATGTAGGAATTAGATTACTGGAGATTCTATCTAGCTGAATAGTGGATCTCACTCGGTACAAGGAGGGGTCTTTTGTTGCATATTGTTATAGTTCTGCTTTCTCTGCAGTCAATCAATAATGATCATTCAGGAATCATTGATAATATATAGAATTGTCTATATATCAAAATTTCAGGTACAGTGATTAAGGTGTTCAGTATGTAGTGGTAGCAAAATTGTTATGATCTTGGTAGTGCATGTGTGCTCATAAGTCTACACTGGGGAGCCATGTGTTGAGGAGCTACTTGTAGATGGAAAACACATACATATCTTCAAGCATGAATGCTGCAGAAACTAGTTTAGAGTGGTTTCAGTATACTCTTGTATACTCACATGTCCAGAGTAGTCTCATTGGTTGTTATATTTTCTGTACTGTAGAGCAGTTTTACCTCCTACTACCTACTCTGCATTTTGGCAGTAAGGATACATGGTGAAGTTTGTGCCTCCTGTTTATTGCTTCGCTTTGTTTTGTTAATACATATGCTCTGGTATGTATTTAATATTTTTTATTACAGTACCTTGCAAATATTAGAAACATGATAGTACTCTTTCAAGTCCTACAAATAAAAAACAAACTATGTTGAGCTTCAAGTAGTTAGTTCAAGTACCTCCACTCATAGAATATTAGGAAGGCCTCATTATTAAGATGGAGTATTAGTTGAGCAGAGGACTTGGGCCAGTTATGGAAAGGCTTAACAGACTGAAGTGAAAACGCCAGTTTTGTCATTTATTATTGTATGTAAAACATAATAGTGGGTGGGTAATTACACATGCCTGTCATCAAACACAGTCCGTGCATTGCATATGTGCACATGTACATGCCACATATACAAGCATGCATATACTCACATACATGCAAATTATACATGCAAAGCACACACAATGCACTCATCATGACATATATTTATATACGCACATACGACCGTCTTGTTGGAAAAAAAAAAATGTAGTGGAAAGGAATAATTAAAATGTGAAGTTAGTTTGGACAGTCAGGTGTTGTTTATATGAGCTGTGCCTATGATTATTTCATGCCTAAAACTAGTCTTTGCTGTAAGATGTGGCCTACAACCCTGTGATC